AGAGGATGCAAAGGACACCAACAAGAAGAGCAAGGAGGATGCAAAGGTTGACACCAACAAGAAGAGCAAGCAGGATGCAAAGGCAAAGGACAAGAAGGAGAGCAAGGAGGGTTCAACCAGTGCAAAGAACCAAGGCAAAAAGAAAACAAAAGGTACCAAGGAGGTCAAGCGCCGGAAGCATGCAAAGGGGAAGAACACCGGAGCTAGTAGTAGCAAGGTCAAGAAGGAAAAGAAGGACAGCAAGGCAGCAACCGCAGATGTAGATGAGGAATCCGCAGACAGTAAGGACACAGGTTCTCCAAAGAAGGCAAAGAAGTCAAAGGCAGCCAAGAAGGCACACGCAATGTACATGAAGTATTGGCGAAGCATCAGAAGTAGCTAGGTTGCATTTCAGACTCGCAATAGAGCGCATTTGCACTGCATGATCTTTGTCACGCACGCGCGCGGCTTATATATATAAATTATATCATAAAGAAATAGTATACATAAGGTCATGGCACTCCCTCGGAGATCAAGAGTTTGGCCAAGCGCTTCAAGTACTGCTGCATCCCCAGAAATTTGGATCAGCCACAGCCAAGTCTTTTATAGTTTATGTGTGAGGCAAGACGCAACAGTCGGTTCTCTATGAGGACTTTTGGGCTTCGGGATGCGAGTGGCAAAGGACTACCGTGTATCGCACAGTGACCAACAAAATGGAAAATAAAAAATCAGGAAAACGGAAGTGGTTGACACGTGGGCAAATGTTGCCATACTTTGAAAACGATGAAGCCATCGTGGATGCCATCATCCACCGTAAGATGGCGGATGATGAGCTTCGGGCCGAAGAAGTGAGAAGCCATCCAGAGATTCCATCTGTTTATCAGTACTTGACTTTGGTTGAGGATGAAGAGGAGGCCACTGAGTCCAGCTCGATCATGGATATGTTCAAGGCTACCGAATCGAAAAAACACTGGCCGGGGCCGGGGCCATGAATCCGATTCATCTGACTCTGAGGATTCGGACGAGTCCGATGGCAGCGAGAGCGGTTCTGATTCAGAGAGCACGGATTCGAATTCCTCTGAGGGGAAGAAGCGCAGCAAGAAAGACAAGAAGAAGAAAGACAAGAAGAAGAAAGACAAGAAGAAGAAAGACAAAAGTAAGAAAAAAAGGAAAAGGTGGAAAGTCCAACAAATCAAAGGCAGGTCCTATTACAGTAAATTTGATACCGCTTTGTAAACGCTATGTTGGTTGAGTTTGAGGTCATCACTGCACTTTTTTGCATATGTAGGGATCCAAGTTGAAGAACAAAAAGAACAAGCCTAAGGGTGAGGCAGAGGAAGCAGCAGAACAGGCAAAGGAAGCTCGCAAAGACCTCATCAAGTCGTGCAAGAAGGCTAGTCGATTTGAACAATAATATATATATACTCAATAAATTATGCGCAGTAGAATACATATATATATATATGTGTGTAGTATTGGGAAACGGTATGCCGGCAGTGTTTCTGTGTGATGCCATTGCTTTCACCCGGATTTGCCCATGTGAGATCGAATTGTCTTAGCCAAAGAACCCAGCAGTTCCCCAGGCAGTTGGAGATATGAACCGGAAGATACACAGTGCGAATGAAAAGAAAGCATCGACCAACACGTGGTCAATCCCTGAGCGTCGGCTTTTAACAGGGGTATAATTCATGAGCAACTTCCCAGCGCCATCGCCCAGGTCATCTGGCATCAAAACCGCCGTCGTGAGCGAAATCGATGCGATGGTGTCGCGCCTGTCGAAGATCCGGTTGAAGATGCAAGCAGCCTTGGATGCGGGAGCGGAGGAGCTCTGGGTTTCAGTGTTGTGAAAGGATCCGAGTTATCAAATGTGGGTGGTATACAACATATATAAGACTATAAGTACTGGCTACCAAACTGATAGGATTGTTTTCCAATATACACAAGCGCAGGACAGCCGCTTGACAAATGTGCTGACCGAAGCTGAGAAGGGCCTGGAAAATTTTGATGAGCAGATGGAACCCATCACTGGCAAGAAAAGAAAAGCCGGTAAGGGCGACAAGTAGCTGCATTTCTTTTAAGCTCCAGAAAGACATCTTTAGCAAAACGCATGCAATAGCCGTTAAGTCTTTCCACCAAATAGTGCAAGGATAAGGTCGACATTCTAAAACTGTTTCCCTATAGTCTTGCAATCTGGAGGGCTTCCGTTGCTTTTCAACGGAGTTGGGGTGTGCTGGCGAGCCAATCATTGGCTTTAGGACTGAATCAGTAGCTGATGCGCGGCCTTCCAGCACTGAAGGGGTACACGTAGACTTCATGAGCAAACAACGACCGACAGCTGCAAAAAGACTTAATGCTTGCAATGCCTGACTGGACTGTTACCGTAGCATCTCATGCATACATGTCCTCCTGGTATGGTCAGCTATTCCCACACAGGTGATGAATCGGCACGAGATCACCAAGTCGGGAGTATACTAGACAACCTCGCTAGTGGTGTCCCTCGGCCGCAAAGACAATTTCAAATTCTAGATCTAGATCCAGATGACATGAAACTTTGCAGAACTAATCTATAAATATTGTTGAGGTGGATGGATTCCAAAAAGACCCAAGGCTTCTGTATCACAACAAATGAAAGAAGTGCACGCCTGCCTAAAAGACCCCTGGGTTGCACTTATAACTCTGCTGGTTTCTTTGTCATT